GATCTAAATCAAATACGTAATAATCTCCACAACCTCCATACACTGATATTTCCCTAAACTTTCTATTTCAAGTTTTCTGGATCTGAGATTTAACCAAAAAAAGTTTGATTATGAAGAATTTTTCCCAAACTTTTTAAAAATAATTATTAAAGGATTTCATAAGTGGACACATGTTTATGTAAACAGAGCATCAGGAAAACACGATGTTTTTAAACACCAATATATTTTTTAAAAATTTTCCCAAAATAATGGAAATTCCCGGCGAGACTATAATTTATGAACGACCTTTGAATGAATCTCAAGTGACCTTGAGAATTATTGGTCAATCAGAAAACAGTTAGTATAGAGTAAAAATATAGTATACATGAACATCAAAGAGTTAGAGTGGATACAATTCTTTTACATGGTTATAAAGAGATTCGGAGGTTCTGAAATCGTAATACATACGGTGGTGGAAATCATCTATGTAGCTTCATAAGAGTGGGCCTCTGGAGCTATGATAAAGTTGCAAAATCTCTTTCAACCTCGATCAGATAGCTTCGAAATTGTTTGTGTGTTCTCCGGTTGTTGGGTCCACAAAATGCCGCTTATGGATGACGATACGATGCACATAACCAAGTCTATATAGGCATATGTACACTCTCTAATACTCCGTATATATTGTAGTACCCGGCTGCAGTCAGTGTTACTGGTGCTTTTAATATCCAGTTCGCAACAGTTGTCATAATTTATCTTAGTCTCAATCCGGATCGAGCGAAAAAACACTATTCTAGCAGACTTATTCCTCCAGCACATATTACATCGAAAGACAACATTGTTACGTTAGTTTCACAAGGTTCACAAGTTATTTGATCATTACAATCACAAACAAAGGCATTTCTTAGTAGTCCCAACTCCGCCTATAGCCCTTCTAGAGTTACTGCCGGTCCCAAGCCCGGGCAAAGGAGGAGGGTCGGGCATGGAGTTAGCGTCTCCATCCCGTAGAAAACTAACTCGCTAAAAAACGCCTACCAGAGAAAATAATTCAAACCATTTAAACTCTGCCCTGAGAGTTAAAAGTCTTAGTAGTCCCATTTATTTTAGTCGCTCAATTATCATGCTTTCTCTAAAATCCTTTATGAACTGATCGTACATGAACATCAGGTAGTGAAATTGGTGCCATGTACTTGAAATCCTTAAAACGTTTTTGATTGGCTCATCCATAAATTATAATCTCGCCGGATCATTTTTTGTAATATGCACATTATTAAACTACTTAAAAAAATAAGTAGTTTATAATATCAATTCATTTACCATTTGTTTTCCCCCTTTAAAAAATATTGTGAACATATGGTTCACTGAACTGTTTCTAGTTTCCGATTTATATTATGTATAATAAATGTATTAAGCTTGAACATTTTTTAACCGTATACAAAATATTAGTGTGAGTTATGGTATCTAAGATACTAATCATATAAATGTTGTGCAAAAACACAAATCTAATTACTTGTTGTATGTATGTGTGTGTGTTTCTTTCGATTCAATGGAATACATTTTGGCATATATATATATATATATATATATATATATATATATATTTCTATATAAATCAGACAAAAGCATTACGAAAAAAATATACAAAAAAAGAAGCACAATTGATATTTACATTAATGTCAATAAAGACAATTAGATTATAAACATGATATTTATCAAGTGAATTTATAATAGAGTTTTTTTAGCGAGTTAGTTTTCTACGGGATGGGGTCGCTAACCCCATGCCCAACCCTCCTCCTTTACCCGGGCTTGGGAACGTCAGTAGCCTCCAGAGGGACTCCAGGCGGAGTTCATCATCATGCGAAAGATATAGGTGTTTATTAACAGTTGTCTACGCAAAATACTTCGAACCCGTTGGCCGGACACTATTAGCGACAACCTACTGTGGGAAAGAACAAACCAGATCCCGGCGGAGGAAGAAATCAGGAAGAAGCACTGGAAGTGAATAGGTCACACATTGAGGAAAGCACCCAACTGCGTCACAAGACAAGCCCTCACATGGAATTCTCAAGGTCAAACGAAAAGAGGAAGACCAAAGAACACATTACGCCGGGAAATGGAAGTACACATGAGAAAAATGAACAAGAATTGGATGGAACTAGAAAAGAAGGCCCAGGACAGAGTGGGTTGGAGAATGCTGGTCAGCGGCCTATGCTCCATTAAGAGTAACAGGCGTAAGAAAAACAAGAATTTATAATAACAAAATTCGTTATTAAGTATAGCAAATGTATGCTGAAACAATGTAAACTATATTACATAACAATCATCTAATATAAAACTAATCTATAATGAAAACTTTGAGACATTTTCTGAAGGTTATTCATCAGTTGATAGGATTTAATACCCATAGGGAACTCATATTTAGTATAGGAGAACCAGCTATAGAATACATTGGAATCATGATGTAATGATTATAATTGTTGAATGTTTTTTCAAACTATTATGCTTTAATCTTCTGGTAAATTTATAATAATCTAAACTTCAAATACAATAACATTTATTTCACAATCTCTATACTAAAATAATAAAGCTAGGGATGTCAACGAATGAATAGATAAGCATGAAACTAATAAGCATTGACCTAAAAACTAATCATAAGAAAAAAACTGGTTTTCTTTACTGAAAATATCGGTCCTTTTTGCTTGGAAATATGATGTATTTGATGGGAATCTCATCTTGTACATAACATAAACTGTTAGATTATCAGGTTGGTTACTGACGAGTAACACAATAGTTCATATAATGCAACACGACTCACATGTAAAAGATGGACAGGTTTAACATATAGGTTTTTACAATCAAGTATGGTGTTGATCTCGATCAGATATATCTTAAAGTATAATATTATAACTTGTGGGTTTGTGCTCCAATAATTACATAACGTAGCGATACCGCTAATTAGAGAACGGTGATTTATCGACCAATTCAATGACGCATAAAAGCCGTATAAGTAGTCTAGAGTCTTTATCAGTCCTTCTTCCTGCCTAGTCCTGCTTGTTAAGTCCAGAACACCAATCTCAGCCTCCACAATATAAGTTATGTATTTCAAACATGTTAGGTTTATATACAAACTAAACAGACCACATCCGACCACAAAGTAGAAAAACAGCATTTGTACAAGATCTAGCTAAAAGTGGCCGTGAATGTGGGAGATAGTAAATTAATAGACTGGGTATAACTCAAGAGCGACAAATCGCATAATACTAGTCTATGGGTCAAAATGAAGCTTATAATAAGAGGGACACGAATATGAATAGTTTAGTTACTTAACAACTATACGATAAAAATATATGTTACTAGTATAGGGGTTGTGGAGATTATTAAGTTTTTGATTGAGATCATGAACCGATTGATGATGTCAAACAAAAACTTAATAATCTCCACAACTCCTGTACTAGTAATTAACATGTGCTCACTAGTGACTAGCTTCGTGAGGGAATTCTCGGAGTTCTAGTGAAAAGCCGTGACTAGTGGAGCTAATCCTTGTCGGGTAGAGACAGGTAGTTGGTCGCGCAATTTCGTGGATTGGTTGATGTTAGAAACTATCACCATTGGTCGCCAGCTCAGTGGTCCAGTTGGTTAAGCGTTCGCGCGCGAGACCGAAGGCCCTGGGTTCGAATCCCGCTCGCGGGATCGTGGATGCGCACTGCTGGGGAGTCCCACAATTGGACGAAACGGCCGTCCAATGCTTCCAGGTTTTCAATTGTGATGGTCTAACATCAATCGGTTCATGATCTCAATCAAAAATATATGTATCGTATTAATCCATAAATAGATTCCGACAGTTACCATTCATTATTCTCATCGGGATATAACATATAACAGTATATTACTTGAGAAAGGTTGACTGATGAATTATTTTGCCTTGATTTTTTTTATAGAGCTGTTAATGATCTAAAGTGTAATACTTAAGCAAAGTGCATAAAGGTGGCAACGGTATTTTATTATTTAGTATTATTTTCAGATCATACACTTAAATAATCGTAAGTCTTATATGCATAAGGTTTTCATTAATAAGTAATGTATACTAGGATGATAGTTTAATTACATTGGTGTTTTTGGAATCGTCAAATATGTGCCATGAAAGGTAAACTGGATAGTATATTCAATAAATAATATCTTGATAATAAATGACGAATTTTGTTACTATTTAAGACAGTAATGCATGAAATGAATAATTTGTGACATGGAATTAATGTGGGTGAGGAGGCCCACAACGGTTACCGGATCACATTTAGATAAGCGATTGATTTTTCCACTACCATTAGTCGTAGGACGCAACATTTTCGATTCAGTACTTTCTTCAAATGAATACAGAAGCATCACTTTTATGAACTGGTAAAATAGTTAGTATTATCTTAAACAATTTCGTCTTATCAGAAGAGGTTTTGTGGAGATTATAGTAATTTCAATAGTTGAGATCATTAGTCACTTGAATCTAGACCACCATGGGAAACCTGGAAGAACTGGTTCGAATCCCGCGAGGCGGGCTCGTGGATGCGCACTGCTAGGGAGTCTCACAATAGGAAGAAACGACCATACAATGCTTCCAAGTTTTCCCTGGTGGTTTAGCTTCAATTGATTCATGATCTCAACTATTGAAGTCTCGTTTCAGTTGTATTAATAATCAAAATGTATATGAATAGACAAAATTATCATCTCAGCACGTAATTCTACGTTTGTTTGATGAAGCATAGTCAAGTTGTTTTTTTTTTCAAAACAAATGTAATTGTTTCATAGCTCATTCATCTATATCAAAGAACAGAACAATAGTAAAAATTCTTGTTTGTTGTATTGTTCCTTCAGGTTGTTTTCGTTTTTTTTCAATATTGTATTATATCTAATGACTCATGTAACTAATATTTAGAAATGTCTCATCTGATCAATTGTTCTATTCTTCTATATATGTTTATTGCCAAAACAATAGTGATTGAAATCATAAAAATTATAATTAAAAATAAACAACATTATATGTTGTATAGTTTGACTACTGTTTCGCATATTTTAGTAGTATTGCAAGTAGTATCAGTATTATTATTATTATTATTATTATTATTATTATTATTATTATTATTATTATTAGTAGTAGTAGTAGTAGTAGTAGTAGTAGTAGTAGGAGTAGGAGTAGTAGTAGGAGTAGTAGTAGTAGTAGTAGTAGTAGTAGTTAATATGGTTATTAGGAATACTAACATTTTTTAATGTATTTAAATGTACTTAACATATTTACCTACAGTTAAACATACTACTACGTATGTATATGTGAAGAGTGTATAAATGATAATATGGAATTTTTGATAGTAAGATACAACATTATAAACCAGTTGATCAATATTGTAAATGATAAATGTCAATTATAAACAATCATATACTGTTGATTTGTAACTATGATTTTGTGTCGATTTAGTTTTGAATGGGACATAAGTAATAGAAATAATACAGTTGATTAATTATACATGTATATAACTCGTATATAATTGTGTATATAGATATATGCAATATGTTTAGTTAATTATAATTAATTAGTCTGGAATTTGTACTAATAAGTGTATGGAATATAAATGAACGATATATATATATATATACGGATGATTGAAATTGGAGGCAATTGGTAGAAAGTCTTAGACTTAGATATGTTGTTACATTGCTTGTTATTTATTAAAAATCGTTTCCTGAATATATTGGTATGCTCACTAGTAACTGGCTTCAAGAGGTATATCCGGGAGTCCTAGTAAGAAGTGGTGACCAATGGAGTTCAACCAGGTCTGTTGTGACATAGTAACTCACTGAAGACATGGGTGGATGTGTCACTCAATTTCGTGGATTGGTTGAAGCTAGGCATTAACACCAATGGGTGCGGGCTTGGTAGTCTAGTGGTTAAGTGCTCGCGCGCGAAACCAGTAGGTCCTGGGTTCGAATATCGCAGGGGGCGAGGTCGTGGATGTTCACTGCTGAGTCTCACATTAGGACGAAACGGCCGTCCAGTGCTTCAAGGTTTTCCCTGGTGGTCTAGCTTCTACTGACTCATGGTCTTAACCATTGAAATTACTATAATACCCCCAAAACCCATCTGATATTGGTATTTAGTTAAAAGACTGAACTCTGCACAATTTTTCAATGGTGGTCTAGCTTCAACTGACTCATGATTTCAATCTGTGAAAACATTAAATTTTGTTTAAACTATGGATAATTTCAATGTATAATTGAAATGTTCACATTGAATGATAATTTGTAAAACGTTATTCGGATCAAATTCTAATGTGAACATTAAACTGTGTAAATAAACATTAAATTTCAAAGTGAATTTCATTGATAGTTTATTTTGTTTCCTTTAAATCACACTATTGATTCTTCTTACAAGTGTTGATAAGTAAAAAAACTGTAGTCTAAGGGATTTGTGACGATGGACCACGGGTGAACTCGAGAAAGCTGTAGGAGGCTCAGAAGGTGCCGAAGATATTCCATACAGTTACCTTTTAGGAGAATATTCCAGAATTCCTACATGTAGGTTCCTGATTGGACAACGCTAATAACACCCTGTATGCGGATTGGTGAACTGTAATGATGATTTCGTTCTTACTAAAAATTATAAATGTCTGACAATTTTGTACTATAATTTGACACTGTTTGGAATAATATTCCTTTCATTAGTCTTCTGTCTTCTTATTGCTACTTGGAAGGGTTTTGGTGTTCTAGTGCTCAGTTATACGCGGTATATCAAGCAAACAACCTTCAAGATATAACAGGAACCATATCGATTTCTTCTAATTACTTAAGATAGCACTATCGAAATATATAGTGAAATCTGTATTAGCTTGATGAAAACAATAGTGTTTTCTAACGAGATTTATGTCAGCCGTTATTTATTATTATTGTTATTATCATTTTAAATGTAGATATCGATAATTAAGGTTGGAAGACATAAAACTCTATGAAGTTTTGAATCGGTTGAAAATTTGAACAATCACTTCGAAGATAATACTGAGTAGAAATGTAACAATGAAACATACAAACTAACTATGACAAGATATGATCATTTTATGTTTTACGTATTAAGATAATTGCGTAAAATTCAATGTAAGAATTTGTTAAGTGACAAAACAGTTTTTATACGAAATCATAGGGTTAATAAAGTCAGTGCAGATCACTAAATTATATACAACTATATATATAGTTGAATTCATGGGTCGATCTAAGCTAGATCACGATTGAAAACCTGGAGGCATTGGAGGGCTGTTTCATCCTAGTATGAGACTCCTCAGTAGTGTGCATCTGCGATCCCACACACACGAGAGTCGAACCCGGTACCTTCGGTCTCGTGCACGAACGATTAACCTATATACTACTGAGCCGACATCTAACGATGTTAATGTCCAACTTCAATTGATAGTTGACCTTGGGCAACTATTTATCCATTGTCTGAGATAGATATCTGTCTCTACTCAACACGGATTACACTCTACTGGTCATAGTTTCTCACTAGAATTCCAAGAACTCCATCTTGAAACTAGTCTAACTTACATCAGCTCATGAGTTTAACTATTAAAATTAATACAATCTCCACAAACTTTCATACTGTTTATACTTAAATGTTAGCAAATATAGGATGAATCAATGAGATTCACTATTTATTCTCAAATGAAATGTTTATGCTTTAAAATGCATTCAAGTTTGATCTTGGGAAACTTGAAATTAGTTAACTATATTATGTTGATATAAAGAATTCTATCGAAATTAGTGATTAAGATACTTAAATATTACCTTAATATGCTAGAGATATCGAAATTACACATACACACACACACAATCAACAATCTTAATTTACGTTTTATGATGTAAATAAACTTCAGTAAATTGATGCATTATCCACATTTCATTTCGAACATTGAAAAATTCTACAAATCAAAATCCATATTCAAACACTTATATCCTTTCACTCGTATAGATGCACACACACAAACACATACACATAGAGATAATATACATACAGACATACACCAACTGAGAGTATGAATTCTATAAATGACAATATAATCATTGACAAATCAATCAAACTAATAATGACTAATAATCATTCGACTAAGGTATATTTACATAACAACAAAATCTGTTTTATTCAATGGTCAATGAATGTTGTCGTTCTTTTTCTTCTTCTTCTTCTTCTTCTTCTTCTTCTTCTTCAATTTTTTCTTTTTTTATTAGTGAATCCCTGTTGAATTCACAAGAGGATAATTGTAGTGACTGGTTTTGATGTTGTATTTGTTTTTATTTATTTATTTGTATAACATTTAATATTAACAATAAAAAAGTAACAACCCCCACCTCACTTAAGCTAAACATCATAATCACCGCTTCGACTAATAGCCAAATAGATTAGTATTTGTTTCTCACATTCAACTGTCGGTTACTATTCAGTAGGGAATGTAGCATATATATATATATACTCTGATGTCTAAAACCAAACGAACATTATGTATTTGTTTATGTTCTATTTAAATAAAAACAAATGATTGATGTAACTGTGTTATCCAATTTTTATCTATGTATAGGTTTGTGGCTCAGTATTATAAATAATAATAATAACAATACTAATACAAGGGTGTAAACAAATGAAATGAGAAAATTCTCTTACATATATAAAACTTATAGCGTTTCACACCGTTATATACAACCAGAACATACCCATATTCACTAATTCTTGAGTAATAAGATATCATGTGTGTGATATATTCAATATAATCAATAATCCATTCATCAGTTCATAGATTTCTAGTAGGTAATTGTGACATTTTTAGTTAAGTTAGTAATCTAAGTGGTTAGCTCACCAATTACAATAAATGACAACTACCCAATACTATGAATTTATTAAGGTTATCAACACTGTTGGATGCCGGTTAAGCGATCGCACGCAAGACTGATGGGTCATGGATTCGAATCCCACGTGTCGGAGTCGTGGATGCGTACTGTCATGGAGTAGTCCCACAATAGGACAAAACGGTCGTCTGCTGCTTCCAGGTTTTCCATGGTGGTTTAGCTTCAATTGACTCATGATCTCAACTATTGAAATTACTACAATCTTCATAAAACCCCTTCTGATATAGATGGATAATTGAATCTCGACTCAATGTCTAAAGATATTATACACACTGCAGAATTTAAAAGTTACTGAGTTCAGTTTTGTATATAGTAATAATTGCACATTGTCGATAAATTGTAGATTAGAGTAAACTACTTATTCATTGATTTCCTGATATATATATGAAGATATTTCAGGTACTTTCACATAATAATGAAGTTTAATATAAATAGCCAGTGAATTGTAGGAAGTTAGTAAAGCTTTTGAAATGATGGAAATGAAGGTAGATTAAGAGAAAAGCTTACAACTTCTGACATTATTATGCCATATATACATATATATGATACATACTAGTTATGCATAAATCATGATAGTGATAAACTCTTCAGTTTCGAACGAATACACAAAATGTGATGTTTTGATAGAACCAGGTAAAAGAAAAATGCAAGTACGATCATAACAATAATAATAATAATAACAACAATGTAAGCAAAGAAGAAGAAGAAGAAAGTATAGAGTGAAAGAAAAAAACACTCATTGTAGAATGTTTTTTTTGACATGTATACACAAGCATATAAAGATATGAATAGGAATATATATCAGTAGTACGGATAAATACATTTGAATGATTTATTATTTCGTTCTTGTTATAGGATTGAACCTTAACCATTATCTGTTTGGTCATTTATGTGTTGTTTGTTTGTTTCTTGTTTACTGTTATTGTGAAGTTAAATGATTTATTAACATGATTATTGTTTGTATGTATGAGTTACTATGTGATTTTTGTTTGTTTGTTGGAGTATTGTAATCGGTAATTTACGGGAGTATTTGGTAAGTCAGTAGTTCTGTTGTTTTTTTATTCATAACTAAACAATAAATTGAATCAATAATGTATTGTTTGATATGAGTTAGATCAATGGCTATTCATTGTTATATGGTGAAATAAAGGGGAAATGTTGTAAGATTTCGTTTGTAAAGTGAATAATTTATAGATTCACAACTTTTATATGTTACTTACTCTTAGTAAATATTAAGCTATATGTTTCATTGTAAGGTAAGATAATATTTTTTGGAAAGGGTGATAGTCCTCATGGAGGAGCATAGGGTACCCAGCAGCAC